TGTGGTTTGTCTTTCCTTTTTAGCGTGTTCACTATGTTACACAACGGTTTCATTTATATGCTAATCGAAGTTATGTATACATATATGTCAGCTTTGACAAGCAGCATGATTCTACCTTATTGTCTAATGATACTGTGATATACATGTGCTGTAGACTTGCAGCCTCGATTATTATTATTATTTGGGGTTCAGTATAGCAGTAGTAACTTTTTGACAGTTATGATTTTGACGCATTGGCCTCTGCATATGAAATGAGTAAAATCACTCACCTACCTACCTGTGCTGTCGAGACTGCAATAGCCAGGATTCTGTTAATTTCGTAATACAATCAAGCACACACTTTTAAGATGTAAGTGTGTGTGTGTGTGCGCGCGAGCTTGCGTGCAACAACTAAATTTTGGACGCTAATCACAATGTGAATGCCTTTTCTCTATAGTGATTGTAATAATAATAATAATAGCATAAATATATATTGAAGCATCTTTTCTTTAGACAACTACCTTAAATTATTTTCATTCGTATGATTTTGTTACTGCAATTCACGAATGTAATTTTTTTTTTGTAGTTTGCCTACAAATCGATATCAGTTAGAGAACCATTGATAACTGGATAGGTGTTTTGTCCTTGCTTGAGATTTTGAGGCATTATACACCTATGACCCCGTTGGGAATCAAATCCTAGGATCTTCCAATTACAAAGAAAGCTCGTCCATCCAGCCATTGAAACCTGACTCTGTGGACAGCCCATAAATTCCTACGGCGGCGGTTAAACCAAAGCATCGCTTCATCAGTCAATGAAATAAATCCACAACAGTTAGTTTAAGCCCAGCCATGTAAGAAGGTGTAGACTCCCTGATTGACTGGTTGGGGTCCTCGAGACGGTAAAAACCAATCACCGGCTGCTGGAGACAATCGGTGATATGGCTCAAACTCATCGTTCTCAATGGCTGACTGGCTGGCGCAGATGCATCCACTGCTTGTGACTTGAAATTTCCAATTAAATTATGTTGTACTTCGTTATTGCTATTCCGTTTGTCTCATGTCCCTGTTTACTGTCTCTCTGTTATGCACTTCTTGTACTTTCTTCTCTTGGTTTGTGTGCTACATGGAGGGAGTGTGGCGACTTGAAAGGCTGCACATCTGTGCAAAGTTCTATGTCGAAAATAGACAGACGGATTCCTACAAATTCGTGATTTTAATGTCACCATCAGCTAAATACCATCGGTGCATGTTTGTCTTCACACCCAACCGGATGGACTTCTGACTAGAATTCCAGTCAACTTCGTTATGTTTCTCCTATTCAGTCACTACCGGGCATGAGATTAATTCTAGGTATTTAATTTGATTTGTTTTGACGAGTTGATCACCGATTGATATCAGTTAGAGAAACACCGGAAAACCAGTCACAGGGAGTACTGGACAGCCAGCTGTTTTATCAGCTGATTCTTCGGCAGTACGCACCCACCGACGACAGACTTCGAACCCAGGGCCTTCCAGATACAAGGCAAGCTGACTCATATACCACTCAGCCACTGGGACCCGACTCCTCAATGGCAAGCCCATCAATGCTAACTCCTACCAATTCGTGGTGCATTTAGCGCGACTAGCACCAATCAATGTCGTCCGTGGGACATCCATTCTCACACTTGACGTCTGGATGGACCCCACTGGTCACAAGTTTGCACTAGAACTCCAGGAAACTCCGTCCTGTAGCCAGTCAGTCACTAGCGAGCATTAGATTAATTTTCTATAGTTGGTTTGCAAAGATTAGAATTCATGAGTCATTAAATCGGGTCCCACTGGCTGAATGGTATACGAGTCAGCTTTCCTTGTAATCGGAAGGTCCTGGGTGGGTGCGTACTTCCGATGATTCCCAAACTAGGCTGATGAAATAGGTGACTGTCTAGTACTCCCTATGGCTGGTTTTCAATGGTTCTTCTCTAACTGAAATCAATCCATGGTCAAACTCGTAAATAAACAAAACTAACACCCTTACAAACCAAACTATAGAAAATTTAATTTGTTTCCCAACTGTCACCACAGATCGATTGATATCAGCTAGAGAAAAGAACCATTGAAAACCAGCCAGGGATTATTGGATGGATGGTTCTTCCTAGTTTGGGATTCCTCTGTGGTCAAACTTAAAAAACAAATCGAATCCCTGCTAACTAACCACCTTTTGGAAATATATATAATTTCTTCCTCTCTATTGCTTAGTTAGTTAGACATTATAAAATTCGTGTTTGTCTAACCTTCTGTATTCAGAAGGTTATTGTACTTAAACGGATAAAATTCATTCCCTTCCTCGCTGAAAAAAGATTCCACCGTTTCTGATTGTACAAATCATATATCGATATATATACATACATATATATATATTCTTCCTATTTGGTTTACGTCATATATATATATATATATATATATATATATATATATATATATATTCATTTACGTCACATACATTTGATTCTACTTTTGCCTTGGAAGGAGAAGTCGATTTTATTATTGGCATTCATTTCTCCCATCCACCCCCCTCTTTTCCCTTTTATCCTTTGCTTTTCATCTGCCTTTTTCTCCCTGCCTTTTGTTACGTCATCATCATATATATATATATAATTTACAGTCTTCTTCTTTTATTGTATGTTGATCTACACTCCGGACTATTCCCTTTGATCACTCTGATCGTTTATTATTTGATATTAACCATCACTAAAAGTGTACTAATATATTCTAAGTGGTATTTTCCGTTGTATTCTTTGAACCTTAATGCATCAAAGACAGGTGTGTGTGTGTGTGTGTATTTTTATGGAGGAGGGAACAGTAGGTGCTACTACTATTGTAACAACAGAAGACAAGGCGAGGCAACAGATCGTTTATTATTAAGGAAATCAACACGTATCTATAGATTTTCATGTACATTATTATAGATTATTGTTAGCAGAAAAACACAGTCCTCTGATTGGTGGTTGTTTCTCACAGAAAGTTAACCTTGCATCTCTTCTCGGCTGTTTCTTGAATGTCACAGATCATCTATATGCTAACTGTACCCGCCTACGCAAAGTCTGCTCTGATTGGTTGCTGAATCAGTCTTTGTTCTCATTTTCCTCACGACTAATATTGGGGACGTAAATTACTGTCTACCAATTTGGCTAGCAACCAGGTCTTACCACCCTATTACTATGCTTCTAGTGAAACTAGCTGTCAGAATGATCAACATGTGAATATGAAGGCAGAATACAGAGTTCGCCAGTGCGTGAGCAGTTGAACAAAATCAATAGAAGCTAGAAAAGTTCGATAGATGATTTTTTTTTAATTGCTTTTCCCCTCCGAGTACTGCAAGATAAGGCTTCAAGTTTGAGCTGAGCTTTAAAGTTTCAGTAGCAATGGCGTTATTGTTTTTTTGTTTTTTTTATAGGGTTGGGGCTGCTAGTGCCTCACGCCCAGCTTTCTCTCTTTACTGAGCCTACTACGGATCAAGCGATGTCTAGGATTGATTGCGTCAGCTGGGGATCAAACCTCCTACCATGTGAGACGTCGTTGACGAGGAGACGGTAAATCAGGGGATAACGTCGTAAAGCCACGGCAACTGAGATGGCTAGGACACGTGTTATACACGCCAAGTCGCCTCTTTTCTTGCTGTGGAATGTGAACTGATATGGAATTACATTGGTAGTCAAATTAATCCATGAAATATTTAGTTTGATTCCAGAATTGGGTAACATGGATTCTAGTCTCTGAAGGGAAATGAGTTCCTTTCCGACTGACTGACTAACTAACGGGTACAGAGGGCTAGTTTCGCATATGCCAGTTTACGCCGTCTCTGGCTTAGTAGATGTGATATCTGGCTGGCTATCGACCAAAGGACGTGTATACTGCTCAGAAGTTCGCTCCGTCCTCCTTTATGGCTGAGTGAGATCTGACCATTGAGAGTGGAAGACATGAAAAGGGTGGCTAGTTGTCTTTGATCTTAGGTGCCTGTGTTCTATCTCCCGTGTGAAGTGGTATAATAAGGTGAGCAATATTGAGGTTGAGCATCGGTCGAGTGTTAGGTGAGGAGAGGAAATCAATCAACGAGGCTGTGAAATTACATCGACTGTGAGATGGTTAGGATATGTATTATGCATACATCCCTAGCCATCTCCTTCCTCGACTGACGGGCAATGTTAGCTGACATAGAGTCAGGCTGGAAAAGAGCTAGCGGCGGTCAAACCAAAACATGGCTTCACCAGTCAATGAAATCTACAACAGTTCGTTTAAGCCACGTAGGGTTGTCTTCAGGACGGTAAAAGTCAATGGTTGGAAACAATTGGTGATGTGGCTCGAACTCATTGTTCTCAACGGCTGGCTGGCGCACATGCATCCACTCCTTGTGACTTATGATTTCCAATGAAACTATATTGTTCTTCAATAATACTATTCTTTTGTCACACCTCTGTTTACTGTCCCTCTATTATGCATTTCTTCTCTTGGTTTGTGTGCTACACGTGGAGGGAGTGTGGCGACTTGAACTTCTGCATATCGGTGCAAAGTTCTATGTGGAAAACAGACAAACTGCCAACAGGAGCTAGACGTAGGTCTTACATCACGGCTTCTTGTCCAATCGCCTCCAACCATCTAATAACAACAAATTTAATTATCCGCTGGAATTGTGAAGACTCCTCAACTTGGGAATGAATGATGACAGCCTTCCGTATTTAATAATAATTTTTTTTATTCCTTCACGCGTTTCCAGTGGAACACACGCGGCTTCAAGCTAGAGCCAGCTTGAAGTTTCTGTAGCAGTGTTTATTTTATAGGATGGGGTTGCTAGCCTCATGCCCAACCTTTCCTTTTTTTACCAGCATTATTTCTGGCTTATTGAGCGAGGCAAAGGAGTGCGTCAGTGGCCGGGAATCGAACCCTGGACGATGTGCATAGTCGGTGAGCGTCCTAAATGCTGTGCCACCGATGCACTTGCTTGACCAGTAATTATCATCCTTTTATGTCATTTTTTTTCTCTAGATCATGTGGATTTAACAGATAATCGAAATTTGTTATCAGCACTTGATCTAATTCCTGATGATATATTGATTGAATTACTTAAAGAAGATCGACCGAGTATATGGGGTGATCCTGTTACCAATAATAATACCAGCAACGTCAACAATAACAGTGGAAGTGTGAATGCCATCAATTCATCTCTATCAGCTCCTTATCCGTGTTATACAGAATCTTCATACCTACCGACACCGTTGGAGACGACGACGACAACAACAACATCAAACAATGATAATGATGACGATTGTGGTTCTATTTGTTTAAATTATGATGGTTATTATAATACATCAAGTGTACATGATTCCAGTGAATGGATTGATTTTAATCTAACCGGTTCAATTTCTCCATTGAATGAATCGTCTATATCATTTGATGATAATCTTCACAATAATAACATTAATAAAGAGGATAGTTCAGCTTTAGTATTATCATCAGATGATTCGTCTAGTTGGATCCCATCGAATCTTGTTCATCATACCTGGTCATCTGCTATTGCTAATGAAAAGGTATCAAATAATTCAATGATTGACAATTATGATCATTATAATAACAATAATAATGATGATGCCAGTAATTGTAACAGTGTTAACTCTCACTATCATCCTCTTCGACGTCATTTCAATTGTCCACATCGTGTTATCTCTGATTTGACCGCTGCACTTATCCTACCAGATGTGGAACGTCGTTTAAAAGCGGCTATCTCAGTAGCACGGACTAGTAAATCAAGTAGTATCCCATCGAATTCAACTGTCTGCTCATCGGTTAGTTCACAAAATTCATCATCACGTAATACTGTTGCTTCTGGTCGTGGTTGTGCTGGTGCCGCTTTTGGTTCAGTACGACAACAACAACAATCATGTTGTTCAGGGAAACGTAGACGTAATGCTTCAGAATCACCTCCACTTGTATCGACGTATGAAGCGACACCACCAACAACAACAGTACCAGTTAATAATGTTGATTTATGCCGATCATCAAATTATTGGAGATGGAGTTACAACGATAATCATCAAATTATTTCATCATCAAATTCAATAAAAGTGAGTCTATATTTTAAAACTCTATGTGAATGTATTTCAAATTTATATATATATTTAATCATTATCATTACTATTCACATTATGGCTATAGAAAACTTATAGTTTGTGCGTTTGTGGGCTAAAGATACTTCCTGGATGCTCAGACCTCCTAGTCAGGTGTGTGCGTTGGTGGCACAGCGGTTAGGATTCTCGCTGACTAATGTACGTGGAGTCTGGGTTCGATTCCCTACCGATGCACACCTGATATCAATGGTCGGCCTGCAAAATTTGGGCTACCGATATCACATGCTGAAAGTCACATACTTGTACCAAAAGTCCTGTGTGGAATCAAACTATAATCAAAATAAATTAAAGGAATCAAACCCCCCCCACCACCACCACCGGGTCTTTTACTTGAAGTCTGATCCACAAGATACTGGATGGATTGGTGTTCCAATGGTTTATAGTGATCGAAAATTCGCTTACAAAATTCGCTCCCGTCAAATGCAAGATGATGTTACAGGACTGGACTACATTGACTCTTAGTTTAGAAATAGGGAGTGAAATGGTATAGCACATCGACTGCTCCACTTATTTGGGAAGTTGCATCAGCCAACGCCAACGGGTTGATCCCTGACGAAATCTCAGTATGGATACAGAGGGCTAGTTTCGCATTTGCCAATTTACGCCGTCTCTGGCGTAGACGAGGTATTCGACTATCGACCAAAGGGCGAGTGTACTGCTCAGAAGTCCGCTCCATCCTTCTTTATGACTGTGAGACCTGGCGATTGACAATGGAAGATATGAAAAGGTTAACCTACTGTCTTTGATCAAAAGTGCCTGCGTTCTGTCTCCCGTGTCATGTGGTATAATAAGGTGAGGAATATTGAGGTTAGGCATTAGTTGAGTGGTAGGTAAGGAGAGGAAATCAATCGACCAGGCTGTGAAGTTATATCGATTGAGATGGTTAGGACACGTGTTACGTATGCCTTCCTAACCATCGCCTTTCTCGACAAAAGGCAATGTTAGGTAATAGATGAGGCTGGAAAAGAGTTAGCCAGTGGCGGTCAAACCAAAACATGGCTTCATCAGTCAATGAAATCCACATCAGTTAGTTTAAGCTATGTAGGAAGTTGTAGACTTCCTGACTGGTTGCGGTCCTCGGGACTGTGAAAGCCAATGACAGGAGACAATTAGGGATATGCCTGGAAATTGTTCTCAGTGGTTGGCACAGATGCATCCACTCCTTGTGATTTATAATTCCCAATGAAACTATATTGCTCTTCGTTATCACCATTCCTTTTGTCTCATATCTCCGTCTACTGTGTCTATTGTGCATTTCTTCTCTTGGTTTGTGTGCTACAAGGAGGGAGTGTACCGACTTGAACTTTGCACATCGGTACAAAGTCCTATGTGGAAAATAGACAGGTGATCAAAAAAAGGTTCATAAGCTGCCATTCTATCCTTTCAGATTCTGGAACCCACGTACAACATCGGTTTTGAATAAAGGTTTTCTAGCCTCGCTGTGTAGACCATCCGCCTGTCTAATTAGTTCGGTTGTAAGTGCTGGATATTCTCATTTGCAATTCCACTTTTATCAGGAAAACTGACACCGTATGAAGACAGGATTTTGATGGAAGAGAAACTTCATTTTTTAAACTTGGTATGTAAACAGTGACTCTTCTCTCGTGTAGTTCATATTAAGCCTCATTCATCTGAAGGAGTAGTGCAAGAAAAAAAGTTGATTTGAAACCCGTAAAATAATAACATATAATAGAAAAGATTTGTCTTTCTCTGTCTGTCTGGATTCAACATAGAACTTGGCACCGAAGTGCAGCAGTTCGAGTTGCCACCTTCCAAATAGCACACAAAGGCAGACAAGAAGATGAGTGAAGAGAATTAATAGTTTCACAAGTATAAGAGTGAAACAGAATGGGTAATGGTAGAAAGGAATATGAAAGATTACAGAGACTGAATACATCTGCGCTGGCCATTGACAACGATGAGTTTGAGCCATGTCACCTATTGTCTCCAGCCATTGATTCTTAGAATCAGTCCCGAGGGCCCCAACCCGGAAGTCTGCATCTCCCTACCTGACTCAGTTTAACTGTCGTCAAGGATTTCAGTCATGGATTGATGAGGCCATGTTTTTGTTTGGCCACCACTGGCTCTTTTCCAACCTGAACCTATATCAGCTAGCAAAGCCCGTCGGGGAAGGCGGTGGTTAGGCATGCGCAGCACGTGACCTAGCCATCTTAGTCTATGTAACTTTATAGCCTCGTCGATTGATTTTCCCTCTTTGCCCAACACTCTACGTCTAACGTCAACATTACTTACCTTGTGAAACCACCTAACGTGAGACAGGGATCGCAGACATCTATGATCGAAAGCAGTCAACCTTTTCATGTCTTCAACGCGTATTGGCCATGTTTCAGAGCCATAGAGAAGGACGGAGCGAACTGATGAGCAGTACACACGTCCCTTGGTTGATAACCGGATGTCACGCCTACGCCAGAGATGGTGTAAGTTAGCGAAAGCAGCTCGAGCTTTTTGGATCCGTGCTGAGATTTCATCGCCAATCAGTCCGTTGGTGTTGATACAACTTCCCAAAGAGGTGAAGTGGTCAACATGTTCTTTCACTTCACTTCCTATCACTAAGTTAGGAGTTGACGTGGTCCAGTCCTGTAGCAGCATCTTACATTTTGTAGGGGCGAATCGTATGCCAAACATACGAAGATTGCTGCTCAATGTGTTCAGAAGACTCTGCATTTTGTCACCATCCTCCGCTAACAGGACTATGTCATCTGCATATTCTAAGTCCATTAGATTATTCCCTGGTAACAAGTCGATTCCTAAGTCATTACGTTCAGTTTTGTAACTCAGGTGGATGATTTGCAATTAATAGTGTTCTCTGAGCTGGTTGGTTTTGGTTGCTAAATACTGCGCTGCACCCTAGCGGTGGGTGCGTACTGATGAAGAGTCCCAAACTAAGACGAAACAGCTTGCAGATGCCGTCCAGAAAGACGATAAAAGCTCCGCAACTAAACCAACCAGCTCAGAGAACACTATTAATTGCAAATAATAACATATATATATATATATATATATATATAACATTGAAAACCATCCGGGAGTACTGGAAAACTGTTTCGTTTTAGTTTGGGCCTCATCGGCAGTACGCACGCACTGGGCTTCGAACACAGAACCTTCCTGTTACACGGCAAGCTCGTGGACCATTCAATAGCGTATGATTTCTTACTTCTAACAATTCTTGATTTCAGCGTGACTACCACCGTGACATCCGACCTGGTGGATCCTACTGGTCATGACTTCTCACTAGAACTGCAGGCAGTTTTATCCTTTAGCCAGTCCCTAGTAAGCATCGTATTAATTTTCAAGACTTAGTTTTTACGGATTTGATTTGCTTTTCCCAAGTTCGACCATGGACTGATATTAGTCAAAGAACCATTGACGATAAGGGAGTACTGGTGGAAGCTAGATTTCATAGTCTGGCCATTGAGTTAGTTCCCAGCGGGCTCAGTAGTCTACAAGCTCACCTTGTAAACCATAAGCCTCCTTGGTTTGAACTCTGGTGGAGTCGTACTGCTGACGAATCCCAAATCAGGATGAAACAGCTATTGGTTGTCTCCTGGTTTTCAGTGATTCTAATTCTAATTGATATCAATGCTCTCCCGCCCCATAGATCTCATCATCTAAATGTCAAGCAAACAAGTTATTGGATTTCATCATGAGCTGACATTAGTTAGAGAACCATTGGAAAGCAACCTGAGAGTACTGGACAGCTGTTTCCTGCGTCCTAGTTTGGGACTCTTCATCAGTACGCACTCTACAAACTAACACTTGAATGTCAATGGGATGTGAGGGTTTGAGGACAAATACTCGCCGAAGACATTGGCTAGTGGTCGTGCTATGTCTTGAATTGGGTCCTAGTGGCTTAATGGTCTACGATCTCGATAGCCTTGTAACCAGAAGGTCCTTGGTTCAACGCCACCCCTGTGGGTGGGTGCGTACTGCTGAAGAGTCCCAAACTAGGATATAGGAAACAGCTGTCCAGTACTCCCAGGTGGTTTTTCAATGGTTCTCTAACTAATTGTAGCTCATGATGAAATCCTGAAATCAAACAAATCCCTACAAGCGAACACCTGAAAACAAGTTATTGTTTCTTTAATTTCGTACAAAATGTGTTTAACATTTTGTATGCGTATCTCTTATGTTACTATGAGTGTATTTCATTTCTCTTTAAATCTGTGTTATGCCTAGCATCAACATAATGTGAAGACAATTATACGAGTGAGCAACGGAGAAGAAGAAGCAGTGGCGGAAGTCGGCGAATCACACTTTCTGACAACTCAATTCGATCCAAACACTTCCAACTCATCAAAAGTGAATAGCACTCATACGAATAACAATACTACTAATGATAGTAAAACAATTTGTTTAACTACTGACGACAACGAATCAACATTTCAACGAAATCAATTAGACAGCAGAAGCTTTAACAACAATCCAATAAAGATTAATGTTGGTCAAGAACAACAACAACATCAGCAGCAGCAGCAGCAGCAAAAGTTACCAATTAATAATTCTCGTAATACTAGAAGTCATAGTAATCATAGACGACTTCCTTCATTGTCTCAGCCATCGATTGAACCACGTAAACGTGTGAAAAAGTATCAACAAGCCAGTATGCCAACTTGTCAAGTTTATTTCACTCCTTATACTACTAATACTAATAGTCATAGTAGTATGAATTCCACAGAGAAATATGTTATCCCTAGACCGGTATTACCTCGACGTCATTCAATGGCATCGTATAATAATAATAATAATACTAATAGTAATAATAATTTTATTCGTTCTGATTGTTTTACGCATTTACCTCATTGATTATCATCAGCATCACCAGAAAGTCATATCTTTATTATTATTATTATCAGTGTGTTATTTATTTTCGCAATTCTCTGTTTTTGTGGGGTTTTTTTTGGCTTTTTCTTTGGGGGATCGGCGGTTGGAGTTTATTTTTTCCTGTCATATATCGAGGACAATTTATTTTATTTATTTATTTGACAAATATGGTGGGTGATCTCTTTCAATTGTTTATTTTATATTATCTCACTCAAGTTATATATATATATATATATATATATATATACATGTACTTATTCAGGAAAAGGAGGGAGATACTGCAGGTCCTTACCGACTCTACGGTGACGGCGATGGGAATCTATCTGTCTCCTCTGTTATTGCATAATTAACTTTGTCATACTTTCATCATTATTATTATTTTTTAAAGCGATTGACTGAATCGAGTTTGGTTGGTTGGTTCCTGGCTTTCTGACTGATTCACTGGCTTTTAAATGATGTGAAGGTGTGTTTGTTTCTACTATCTACTACAATAAAAGCCGGTTATTCTCTCCTCTTTTTTACCACTACTACTTTTACTACTCATGAGTAGTTAGTTGAAAAACGCTTGTTTTTCCGTCTTTGTTGCTGTGTCTTGTGGGGACACATTCTCCCCGTACACTTAACTGACAATGATTCTTGGATAAATGGAATCAAACAAAATGAACGAAAAACTGAAATCTTCCTGTTCACAGAATGCTTTACACAACAATAATGCTTGTCTTCTTTATCTACTTTATGTGTCTGGCTGGCAGGAAGGCGGACTATCTCCAGTGTTCAATGCTCAGTTTATAGTTTGTTTTAATTTTTTCTCTATAAACACGCGCCAAATATAAATGTTTATCCATATATATGTATGTGTGTGTGTATACAGCTCTTTCCATTTCTTTTATTTTTGTTACCTGTAAATGTCTTTCTACTATTCGTTCTTGTTTCTCTGAACAAGTTCAATGAGTTGTTTTGTTTTTGTTTTTTGAGAACACATGATCTCGCAAATCTTTTGATCTGTTTTACTTTTATTATTATTATTATTTCATTTGATTTTTCTGTATTCTCGACTTCTGTCTCTTCCCCTTCCCGTATCGTTGTTATTGACTTCCTTCGTACATTTTCTGTTTTGCGGGGGTTCTTGTAGGGTGCAGACTGTGAATGGATGGCTGACTGAGTGACTGACTGACTAGGTGGTTGGAATTCTTTTTTCCAATACCCCATAATTATTATCAAATCACACAATTTGTTACGTCATGTTCTGGAGAAGGAAGGCATAAGTGTGTCTACGAGTATGATTTATAGGCAAAAATAGGAGAGGCTTTCTCTTACCCCACCCCACCCCCCAGCAATATTCTGTTTTTTTATTTTCACAAACTGTGTGTTACTTTCCTTTTGCATTTCTCTCGGTTTAACGATGAGAGAGTAGGCGTGTCGTCTTGACGGCTTTTCTAACGTTTGTTTATTTCCATTATCTTTGATTATCACACATGACTTTTGTAACTTTTCATGTACTTATTGACTGTGTATGTTTAAATAACGCTCATATATATATATATATATATATATATATATATATATGATGTATGTGATAGTTGCTAATTTTGATCTGCTGTTCACTTCGTTTTTTTCTCTTCTTTTTTTCTTGCTTCTTTTACATGACCTTTAAACAATCATATTTGACGAAATTTGATTGGAAAAGAAAAGATATATATATATATGTATACACCGTACATTATTTTATTTATTATTCCTTCACGTTTCCAGTGGAACACGGGGGTGGGGGGCTTCAAGCTAGAGGCAGCTTGAAGTTTCTTTTACAGTGGTATTCATTTTCACAGGATGGAGTTGCTAGCCAGCCTGACGCCCGTCCCCGCCCCCCTCCCACAACCTTTCCTCTTTACCAGTCTTATTACTACTGGCTTAGTGACCCCAAGGTAAAGGAGGAGTGTGTCCGTTGGCCGAGGATCGAACTCCGGACCATGTGCATGGTCGATGAGTGTCCTAACCGTTGTGCCCACCGATGCACATACATCGTACATATTTTCTGTTATTTAGTTGGTGGACAAAGTTAAAGTAATCACGTAGCCAAAGTCAACGTTTTTGAAAAATTGATCTTCAAGGACCGATTAGACATAGGGAATGTTATGAAATGTCATTCATATATCATCAAAGCATGGTGGCCACATTGTAAGCTTGACTGATAGAATTCAATCTGCAGTGAAGTATAAGACTAGACACATTACACTAGTTGCTGACTAGTGCGCAATCAAAATATCCAATACAGGAGGTCAATCGCGAGCCTGAATAGCTCAGTGGTAACGTCTCTGACTGCTGGTGGAACTGGGTGACGCAAGCTATTCGAATCTCCTCAGAAGGGACATGAGTTCCTTCAAGGCGCTTGCAGATACGCCTTGCTTGACTAGTGAGTACCAATTAGCACGAAACCTAGGTGGTGTCCAAGGCTTCCTGTGGCCGATTGCCTCTAACCATCTATAATACCAACAAATCATACCTGTCTTTTTGAACTTGGAGAGGATAGATACCGTATTCTACTTGATTATCAAACAATGGGCTGATCACTTCAAAGAAGTCTTGAATCTATCACCAACAGCTTACATGGAAATACAAGTGGACACTAATCCTCCAACAAAAGAAGAAATCCTGAATGTGATCAAGCTACTGAAGTCCTTTTGGGGAAGCAGTAGGACCAGACGGCATTCCTCCTGGAGCACTGAAGACGGCCCCAGAGATTACGACAAATGTTCTCACTCCACAACGTTTGAAAACAAATAAAGGTGCATACTGAATGAATGGAAGAAGGGCGACTTAGGTCTGTGCAAGAACTGACTGGCGTGGAATAATGCTCTTGTCCAAGTCGCATCATCCTGTAGAGAATAAAGGATTCACTGGATTCAGAACTCCACTCGGAACAAGCTGGATTCAGGAAAGGCAAATCATGTGCTAATCAAATTGCAACTCCACGCGTCGTCATCATAGAACAAAGCATAGAATGGTAGTCAAACCCCTACCTACCTCAACTTAATCGACTTCGACAGCGTTGACCGAGAAGTAATTTGGAAACTATTTCAATACCACGGCGTACCCAAAGTCGTTGTTAACCTCATTCATTAGCTGGCTAAATGACAATGCCACGTGTCAATCGATCCACAACGGAAACTCAGTGAGGTAGTCGAAATGCATACAGGAGTATGACAAGGTTAGCTGTCTGTTTATCACCGACGATGATTTTCTTAATTGTGGTGGACCGGATTATGCGTCAGACTGTTGAGGCTGAGGAGTCAGGAATGCGCTAGATGACCGATAAGAAGATTCTAGAATATCTGAATTTCGTGCATGGATGATGACATATATCTAATGTTACACAAAAGCGAAGACTTGCAGGCAAAAATCAACAAACTGGCTGAAGAGGCTGGCAGCTAAGACAGGATTCCAAGTGAACATAGAGGTGATGAAGATAACCAATCTCCACAACAGCAGCAACAACGACGCCTAGCACCAATCACCATCCACGGAAGAGATTTAACAGAGGTTACTTCCTTCAGCACGGATACAGGGGGTTCGTTTCGCATTTGCCAGTTTACGCCGACTCTGGCGTAGACGAGATGTTTGACTATCGATCAAAGGGTGGGTGTGCTGCTCATCAGTCCGCTCTGTCCTCCTTTATGGCTGTGAGCGAGACCTGGCCACTGAGAGTGGAAGACATGAAAAGACTAGCTGTCTTTGATCATAGGTGCCTGCGTTCTATTTCCCGTGTAAAGTGGCATAATAAGGTGAGCAACATGGAGGTTAGGCGTAGAGTTCTAGGTAAACAGGGGAAATCAATCGACGAAGTCGTGAAGCTACAAAGACTGAGATGGTTAGGACATGTGTTACGTATGCCAAGTCATCGCCTCCCTCGACGAGCAATGTTAGCGGATATAGGGTCAGGCTGGAAAAGTGAGAGCTAGCGGCGGTCAAACAAAAACTTGGCCTCACCAGTCAATGAAATCCACAACAGTTGGTCTAAGCCAGTCACGTAGGAAGGTGTAGACTTCCAGGCTGGGGTCCTCGGGACGGTAAAAATCTATGGTTGGAAACAATTGGTGACATGGCTCAAAATCGTTCTCAGTGGCTAGCGCAGATGCATCCACTCCTTGTGACTTATGATCTCCAATGAAACTGTTTTGTTCTTCGTTATTACTCCTCCTTTGTCTCACACCTCTGCTCACTGGTTCTGTTATGCTTTTCTTATACTTTCTTCTCTTGCTTCGCGTGCTACACGGAGTGTGGCGACTTGAACTTCCGCACATTTGTGCAAAGTTCTATGTCGAAAACAGACAGGCAGACTTCCTTCACTTATCTGGGAAGCATCATTTCAACTACAGGCAACCGGCAAGGATGGAGGTGTCAATATCAACGAGAATCGGAAAGGCAAGGTAAGCCTTCATCTCTATCTGAAACCAAATCTTAAATCTTCCGCTGTCATTCAATCAGCATAAACAACAATAAGATTCGGATTGCGTTCAACACCAATGTGAAATCGGTCACTGCTTATATACGGGCCAGAAACTTGTCGAGTGTGTAGCGTAAAGGATTTCCAACAGATTGCAGACTTTCGTCAACAGTTGCCCTCTTCGTTGACTGGCTCATTACTGAAGATCAACTCCCTAGAAAGAATAAGCAACAAGAAACTCTGGCTGAGAACAAACCAACAGGCGAAAGTCGATCGCCCAACAAATATGTTGGAGAAAGTGGAGATGGTTTGATCGGGCATACATTGAAGAGGTCGTCGAATTACATCACACGCCAGCCCAATGCTCAAGTGGGATCCAAATGGAAAGCGATAAGTAGGTCGTTGGTGTGAGGGGGAAATGAGAGATTAGGAGCAATCGTAGACCCAGATGCAGATGATGGGAGGGAGGGTGGGTTAGTCGTTATTGCATAAGTTCACTTTACCTCTATTATAATGTATTCTTTGCGTTCTAACTGGAACATTATTAGTGGGTTTAAAACACAAATTTGGTGCATTATGGAAACCAACAGATGTGCCACACATGTCATAATTTGTTCGGAGGCTGGGGCAGTGTCCTGACGCTCCTCAGGCCTAAATAGGTGGTTGTCTTTAGGGGGCGACCCCCTTCCACACATGAGCCATTGACTTGGAGTCTGATCCACAAGGTAGTGGAGCTACGTTCCCATTATTTCTGGTAACCGAAGCAGGCTCACAGACCATTCGATTCGTTAGGGTTCTGGAGGCTGTGTACATTATGGGTTCTGAAATGAGCTTTCTCCAGCTCTCCTAGGTAGACTAACTTGTCCAGCTGTTCGGTTGTGAGTGCTAGGTGTTTGATATCGACCTTTCACTTTTGTGAGAAACACCCTCACCACCTCTTGAATGCAGCGGATTGGACTTCCATGGCAGAGGCTGTGGACGACGCGTGGCTACATGATAGCATTTCGAGAGGTGAGCTGAAGTCTACCTACCCTAAGGCTGTATGAGGTTGTTTATTGGGCAGTTATAAAATTGGGCCTCAGCGCGATATTTCGATTTCACACTGTTTTCTGTAGCCGTTTTGTTTAGTTATCTCCACGATGGTCCAGAAGGCTTCATTTCTCCACATAAATATCTTCCATGTCACTTTCGGACACTCACCTAACCTGTCGTTGCGTATTTACGTTCTGGTCGGGAGTCTGTCTTGTGTGTGATGTCACGCAATAGTGTCGTCAGCATTATATCTAATCCTTGTCAATAGCTTCTTCTCTAGTTTGTTACCAGAGTTCCTCGCTGCTTGTGTATCCTTCCTGGCCGACCATCTGATCTTCGGCATAGAGCAAAGACAGCCGTTGATAAAAGTTCGTAGTAGACTGTTGAAAATACTTTTCGTGACGCGTGTATCAAGTATGTGAAGCAGTTGGGGCACTGAATCGACATCAACGTTGAAAATTCGGATCTTATTCCGTGTGTTGAGTTCTATAGATCTCCACAATAATTTCAGAGTAATAGGATTCTTAATATATGTGTAAAACTTGGGCACTGTGGTAGTAAATAATTCCATATTAGTTTGTTTATTAGATATTATATCACACAGTCAGTGAAACAGTATTATTATTTACTGGATGACGTTTCGGACAAAATTTATTGCTGTCCATAATCATTTCATCAATTATAATCACACGACTTCGAAACCTTAGTTTTATAGTTTTCTCTGTTCTCTCCTATTTGACGACATTAGGGTAGTAGAATTTTCCAGATATCTGGGTGGACAGGTGTTGAATCATTCCTACTACACGTATTCTCTTCGGTTGATTCGATAAACAAAGCATCTGTTATAAATCTCTCCCTCCACCCTGTGACATGAGACTTCAAAGCTGTTTTCCTATCCCATCCTATTGTATGGTTGTGTGTGATTGCATGTAGTGCTATAGATGAACTAATCTCTAGATTTCTTATGTTATTCGGGTCAACTAATCTACATTTTGTTAGGTTTTTATGTTCGGCTAGTCTGACTGCCCCTGTTCTACTAGTTTGATGTATGTATTTGACCTGACAATCATTACAGACAGGGTATTCGATAAACTAAGTTGTTTTGTTTTAAAGGCTCCACAGGATTGATCCTTTAACCGACAAAACTTGTTTCTCATTGAATTTGTGGGTTTGAATGCCAGCCACTTTTATTCCTGCCTTGTTAAGAATTCTCCTTAAGGTTTCTGAGATTCCTTCGGGATTAGTTGATCGCAATGATAAGATGAGAAATCTAGAGAATAGTTCAGCTGCTATAGCATGCATTACATGCAATTACACACAACCACACAAAAGGATGAGATATGGTGACAGTTTTAAAATCTAATATAACAGGGTTTAGGCAACAGAATTGATGATAGAAGCTTTGTTTATCGAATCAACTGAAGAGAATACGTGTAATAGGAATGATTCAACACCTGTCCACCCAGATATCTGGAAAATTCTACTACCCCAACGACGACAAATAGGAAAGGACAAAGAAAACTATAAAATTCAAGTTTCGAAGTTATGTATGATTGCAACTGATGAAATGATTATGAACAATAAATTGTGTTCGAAACGTCGTCCAGTAACTAATACTGTTCCACTGTATGATATGTCTTGCATTTCCCGCCTTGACTGGTTTTGACATCATCACGCACACCGTCTGCGGCAGAAGTGATCCTGTGTAGATAAATAAGAGAGGCTTATCTTCCCTCCCCCCCGCGATTTTTCGCGTTGTTGGTGGCTGATGCTTGTTTTTTGTTGTTTGCTTGGTTGGTTTTCTTCATCCCGCCCATCTCCTGTATGTTCGTCCACCCGAAATTCACTCTTAGTTACCTCTTCTGCCAACTTGTCTAGGTTATCCTCTTTAGGTCTTTCAGTTTGTGTAATATAGCGAAATCCAGATCTTCTAGTGTCTTCTTTGTTCGACCAACGTATCCCTGTCTTCTTTCTCCGCATAATCCAGTTCACAACAACTAGAGCTATCACCAGTGACAGTAGGTAGTCAGGCCTGTCTTACTCTTCTATTCACTGAGCTACCTGTTGTGGATCTTTTGACCTGCGACATCATCGTTTAACTGCTGAATGAAGACGATTATGAATGTTTGGTGCAGTCCACAGTGTTGAACCATTTTCCAAATCACTTCACCGTCAACGCTATAGAAGGCCTTCTCAAAGTCAATGAAGTTTAGGTGAAGAGTTGACTTTCAATTCATGTTCTGTTGTTCGATGTTTTGTTCCTCTCTTGAATCATTCTGGTTTAGATTGGAATTTTAAGTTCATACCGTATAATTTAGTCTCTATGCGAAGATGAGGCTTGATATTTTGATCGCAAATTGCTTTATGCTTAACAAAGTCCGTATGTTATTTATTTAGTAATTGTGGAAAGGTGGTAGTGTGACTCCAACTAACTGACTATAAAAAGTCTTAATTACCTGAGTTTTTCAAAGACTTTATGCACACAATTTTCACTCGAACATTTAAGAATGTTATGATCCGCGATATATCGAGACTGAAATAGAAATTCTGAGTTGAATACAGACGCGTTAATCATGACCGCCTTGTGACTACGTCAACAACAATATACAACAGCTACCTGTTTCCCCAGATCGTACTACTTAAACAAGAATATACAACGATATCGGTCAATTCTGACTGGTTTATTTCCACACTGGACCAGTGGTGTCCGTCAAGGATGCCCATTATCTCCTTTTCTATTCAACTTCATCATAGATGTGTTAATGGACTTAACACTAGGTGACTTCAGCTATTCAGGGATTGACTTACTACCAGGGAATAATCTCGTTGACTTGGAATATGCAGACGATATAGTCCTTCTAGGCGAGGACGCTGACAAAATGCAGAGTCTTCTAAACACCTTGAACAGCAATCTACGAATGTTTGGCATGCGATTCGCTCCCGCCAAATGCAAGATGATGTTACAGGACTGGACTACATCGACGCCTAGTTTAAAAATAGGAAGTGAAGTGGTAGAGCACGTTGACCGCTTCACTTATTTGGGAAGTACCATTAGCCGGTGCCAACAGGTTGATCTCTGACGAAATCTCAGCACGAATACAAGGGGCTCGTTTCGCATTTGTTAGTTTACGCCGACTCTGGCGTAGACGAGATGTTCGACTATCGACCAAAGGGCGAGTGTACTGCTCATCAGTCCGCTCCGTCCTCCTTTATGGCTGTGAGTGAGACCTGGCCACTGAGAGTGGAAGACATGAAAAGACTAGCTGCCTTTGATCATAGGTGCCTACGTTCTATTTCCCGTGTAAAGTGGCAATAATAAGGTGAGCAACATGGAGGTTAGGCGTAGAGTTCTAGGTAAACAGGGGAAATCAATCGACGAAGTCGTGAAGCTACAAAGACTGAGATGGTTAGGACATGTGTTACGTATGCCCAGCCTAATCATCGCCTCCCTGGACGAGCTATGTTAGCGGATATAGGGTCAGGCTGGAAAAGTGAGAGCTAGCGGCGGTCAAACAAAAACTTGCCTCACCAGTCAATGAAATCTACAACAGTTGGTCTAAGCCACTTAGGAAGGTGTAGACTTCCAGGCTGGGGTCCTCGGGACTGTAAAAATCTACGGTTGGAAACAATTGGTGACATGGCTCAAAACCGTTCTCAGTGGCGCAGATGCATCCACTCCTTGTGACTTATGATCTCCAATGAAACTGTTTTGCTTTTCTTTATTACTCCTTTGTCTCACACCTCTGCTCACTGTTTCTATTATGCTTTTCTTGTACTTTCTTCTCTTGCTTCGCGTGATACACGGAGTGTGGCGACTTGAACATCCGCACATTTGTGCAAAGTTCTATGTCGAAAACAGACAGACACTGGACACTGATCACCATATCAATAAAAGTCTTCAAAACTAGAAGATATGATGATGAAGCATTGTTTAATAGTGAATTAAACTGTTGAACAACAATATTTCGGTGGTCATCGTTGTATATTGAAGTGTCATATCTACACACTGGATGACCATCTCCTTTATCCTCCAACTGTGGTGAGAGCTGTCTGCTAGCTAAAATTGGTAGACAGTAATTTACGTCAATGTTTCCGTCCCCAATATTGGTCGTGAGGAAAATAAGAACAAAGACTGACTGACTCAACAACCAATCAGAGCAGACTTTGCGTAGGCGGATACAATTTGCAGATAGATAATTTGAACTTCAATCAACAGCCACAAAGAGATGAAAGATTAACGTTCAACGAGAAACTACCAATCAGAAGACTGTGTTTGTTTGCTTACAACAATCTATAATAATGTGCATGAAGATCCATAAATATCTGTTGATTTCCTAAATAAGCGATCTTTTGTCTGGCTCTTGTCTTCTGTTGTTACACAACCAGTTATCAAACTAACAAATAATAGGCAGTACAAAAAAGCTGATGTAAAGTAGCATTTGAGGCGTCATTAAGCTTTTTATGATAATTTTGTCATAGTGTCGATTTTTTCATCAAGAATCACACATCAGTCTTAGAATTATTGAAAATCAAGTAAAACTGAACGTTTGTTGTTTCTTCCTAGTTTGGGACTCTTCAGCAGTACTCACCTACGACATCTGCAGCGATGAAATGTTTAACTTTCAGCTGGTGTGGCCAGCTGGATCACGATATAACCATACCATCAACGAATGCTACCGATGAGCATCCGATTCGTCAACGACAATGTCAACACCATCCACTACGACTTTCCACTAAAACTTTAGCATTTCTAAACGGTATGTAGTCATAGACACTGCTTTGTAAAAGTGCTTCCGCCAAAATTTAGTAAATTTGCGCTAATGTAGCGTTAATGCCTGTCCTAACTCTCTCTCTTTATGAAAATTTATCCCATCTATGATACATTCAGGACCACTTAAGTAATAATTCGTTCTAAGAATACAAAAGTATAACTGGACAGTTGTTTAGTGGTTGAATTATGCAATGATCTATCCTCGTCACTTGTAGGACCCTGTTTGATTCCTGAGGAGGTCGTGGTTGTCTGAGACACTGAAGAATCCCAAGATAGGATGAAAAGGATGTCCGGTGCTGCTTGATTTTCAGTGATTCTCTGGATGATGTTAACTTTATGACGAACCACACATTGAAACATTTAAAAGCAGTGGTTACACATTGCTAAGACGAGACATTTGCGGACGTTTTATGTTTTAATATGAGACCCTTTTAGATTGAATGAATAAGTAGAAAGCCTTTATGACATTTCAAGCAGCTGCCTTACGCATCATGTTCTCCAGCACGCAGTTAATCCAGTCAGTCAACTGTTAAGGATAAGATACCGCTTTTGACAATCTCTGTGTATTCATCAGTTTACTTGTCCGTGTGGAGCGAAGTATGTCGGTTGTACGCAACTTCAAGTCCAAAAACGTATTCTGGAATATTGTCCGGACTGGCTAGCTAGCCAGAGGAGAAAAGAAGAATAGTGGCAGCTCCATCCTCAAACATCTTGTCATTTCTGTACATCGAGCACCCTTGCATGAATGCTACACAGAGTCCCTCAGTATCCTACGAAAGGACTTCAAATACTCCATCTTTACTTAGCTGTTATTAGTATTGTTGTTTCCTTTAGTTACTAGAGGAACATAAGACTTCAGCCGACCAAGTCTCCACTGCCTTTGGTTCTCTGCTAGAGGTTTCACCTGGCTCCATGTCTGCCCACATGCTTTCATCTCCTCTTCACGTAATCTCCTCCAAGTCACCCTCCCGCTGACGACCAACTCGCCGCTTTCCTTTCGGGTTCCACTCGAGCAATGACCTTTCGTGTGATGTCTTTTGATGGTTTTCTCAGAGCATGGCCAGTCCACCTCCATTTCTTCCTGCTTATTTGTTGCACAATCGGTTCCTGCTGGGTTGGTTAGCTCCCAGACTGGCTACGTAACGAAGTTGCCTGAATTTCTAGTAAGAAGTCATAACCAGTAGAGTACATTCGGTCACTAATGAGGTCAGGTACTCGCCCATGACACTGGCTTGTAGTCGTGCTAAAATCACGAATTGGTAGAAGTTAGAATTCATGGGGTGACCGTTGAGTCGGGTCCCAGTGGTTGAAAATGGACTACGAACGCTCCCTGTAACCGGGAGGTCGCCGATCTTAACCCGTATGGGTTGTTACTGGTGAAGAGTCACAGTCTAGGGCGAAACAGCTGTCTAGGACTGTCTGGTTTTCAGTCCATGAGCAGACCTAGTACAAATGAAATTCTTGCAAATCAGCGCTTGGTAAGAGTCTTTTTCTTTCACATTACACTTTTGGTTACTGAAAAACTATATAAGTAGGTCAACAGTTAATGCAAAATATTTCCCTGAAGTCACGTGCTTTTCCAAGATAGGTCGTGAAAGTATATAACTTAGAAAGCTGAAGGATTATAGATCGTTTTATGTGGGCAACAATTTAAACTGTCTATAAGTTTCCTCTTTGTCATCGGACACTATGGTCAAGTTGAAAGGTATTTTCAACCGTCAATGTTGATTTCGTCACGATCTGACATCACCTAGAAAATCATGGAAAACCAAGAAGTACTGGAAAGATGTTTCGCTCTAGTTCAGGACTGTTCAGTAATCGGTACCCATGATCTCGCCACAGTTTGAATCTAGAGTTGTCAGATTAGCAGGTAACCTCATCAACTTCTTAACCACTTGGTTGGAATTTAATAACCCCTGGAGTTCCAATGAGAAGTTATTACCATTGGGGTCCATAAGGTTGGATGTGAGGACAAATACTCGTTAATGACTTAGGCTGGCACTGGCGCGCTAAAAATCGTGATTTGACAGAAGTTAGAATTCATAGGTTGGCCATTGGGTGCCACTGTGCCAGTGGCTGAGTGGTCAGCGAGCCCTTCATGAGTTCAATCCCCAGTGGGGTCACTTTGGAGTACTCTGTACCCAGTACTCCCGACTTCAGGGGGTTTTTTCGTTAACTGATATTAATTCGCAATCAAACTGCAAACTCATGTAGAAGTGTAAATATATAGATTCAGAAGAAATCAATAAGATTAACATCCAGTGATTTACATCCGTAAATTTTGAATAAAAACTAAGCCAAGATGATGGTGGACTGTGTAGTAGAAGTAAAGAATTTTAATAGCGTACAACTGAGTTAGCATTCGATATTTTAACTGATTAAAATGCCCATTAAAAT